TTCCTGCCAACCAATCATGCTGCTGCATTGTTCTTGGACCAATCAGACTGCTGCATTCTGAATCCTATTGTTCTAGGACCAATCAGACTGCTGCAATTTGGATCCTATTGTTCTAGGACCAATCAGACTGCTGCAGTTTGGATCCTATTCAACTCAGTACATAACACCAACGGAGGAATTCATTCCTTGAAGGCTGTGAGCAAAGGGCAGCCGAAGAAACGGCAAAATATCACCACCACCACCACTATGGCAACGTGCTCAGGGAAGGCGTTTTGGGACTTAAAATGTTAAGCAAGGCAGCCATTGGGTTGATCTAGGCCAGGCCCATATCCGGTACAGACACTCAGACACCCACTGCCCAGAGACACCCAGAGATGGGCTGATAAGGATTACCAAGGAAGGACAGGGAAGGGTCATGTCCGACTCCTCAGGCCCTGTTTCTAGGCAGAACCTCATGTATCTCTCTGGAACGCAGTCTCCAGGCAAAGCAGTTTTTGTCTCTAGACAGAATCTATTGCATCTATCAGAGTACAGTGGTACCTCAGGCTACATGGGGGCAACTCCCATCTCTTGCGGGGGTGCAATTAGTGCCAGCACTGTCCGTTAAGAGTTTGAGTGTAATCTTCGATACCTCCCTCTCCATGGAGGCGCAGATTGCAGCTATAACAAAGGCGGCATTTTTTCATCTCCACCAATCTAAGCAGTTGGCTCTTTGTCTCTCTCGCCCTGACCTAGCCACTGTGATCCACGCGACGGTCACCTCCAGACTGGATTATTGTAACTCGCTCTACGTGGGGCTGCCCTTGAGACTGACCCAGAAACTCCAGCGGGTGCAGAATGCCGCGGCGAGACTCCTTACGGGGTCTTCGCTGCGGGATCACATTCATCCGGTGCTATACCAGCTGCACTGGCTCCCGGTGGCGTACAGGATCAGGTTTAAGGTGCTGGTTTTAACCTTCAAAGCCCTACACGGCCTAGGACCCTCGTATCTACGGGACCGCCTCTCCTGGTATGCCCCACAGAGGAACTTACGGTCCTCAAATAAAAACATCTTGAAGGTCCCAGGCCACAGAGAGGTTAGGCTGGCCTCAACTAGAGCCAGGGCTTTTTCGGCTGTGGCTCCGATCTGGTGGAACGCTCTGTCACAAGAGACAAGGGCCCTGCAGGACTTGACATCTTTCCGCAGGGCCTGCAAGACAGAGCTGTTCCACCAGGCCTTTGGCCAGGGCACAGCCTGACTCCCTACTTTGGCAATCTTTACAACACTTTAGTTTATGGTTGCCATCAATTTTGATTTTAATTAATTCTTATGATGTTTTTATAATGTTGCACTATTTTAGTGTTGTTAGCCGCCCTGAGCCCGGCTTCGGCTGGGGAGGGCGGGATATAAATAAAATTTATTATTAATTTATTATATGCTTCAGGTTACAGACTCTGCTAACCCAGAAATATTACCTCGGGTTAAGAACTTTGCTTCAGGATGAGAACAGAAATAGTGTGGTGGCAGCAACAGGTAGCCCCATTAGCTAAAGTGGTGCTTCAGGTTAAGAACAGACCTCCGGAACGAATTAAGTACTTAACCCGAGGTACCACTGTATGTCTAATGCTGTAACTTTTGATTGGATAAAGACCTGATTCAAGAATGTATAAAGGGAAGCCTCCCCTGTTGGGAAGGGCCGGACTACGGAACTTATTCCTCCGTGCCACTGCTTGCTGCTGGCAAACTTAACTTTCTTCCTTTAATTCTTCATTTGACTGGCCTGACTACTTGCTACACCACCACCCATCAGGCTGGGTTTATTTATTTCTATTAATTTCTATGTGCGCATGCAGACAATCATTATTACCTCATATCAAAAACTGGGAGAGGGTCTCTTAGTCCAGCCCTCCAGTGCACACTAGCGGCCAAAATTGTGGAACCTTCTGGACAAAATGTATTTCCGAGGTTTGATGGCTCATGACACCACTTTGTTTTGGAGTAATACCAAGGCTTTTTCTGTGGGGACGCATACCCCTAAACATTTTGTGAATTTAACAGGAGAAGAAATTCACTGTATTTATTTTCCCAGATTAGAACTGTATTTATTTCCCCCTGGTGGTGATTTTCTTGAGACAAAATGAGAGTACCCTAAACATTCTTTTTTAGAAAAAAAGTACTGAGTTATACCATAAAATCATGTATCAACGGAAAGATAATTTAATGAGGAATGTAATGCAATAATTTTTATGAAGGATTACTTATTATAACAGCAGTCATAAAGAAGAAACGTGAAAACACAGGAAAAATGAGGTACGCAGATTAAATTGCCGTGTTGACACTTTGCAATAAAATCAATGGGTTTGGGGGTTGCAGTTTGGGGACTCGGTTTCTAAAAGGTTCGCCATCACTGCGCTAGAAGGAAAGCAAAGTGGGGGGGGGGCGTCCCCCAAAAAGCATCTCTGGAAGTGGGAAAGAAAGAAAAACGCGGAGGGGAGAGATGGGCACGCTGGGATTGGCAAGGGTTAAAGGGAACCGAGCTGCCTTCCTAGAGAGGACAGGAAGCAAGGGGGGCCAGGTCCTCCAGAGCCAAGGCCCCTCCCTCCCAGTCCTTTCCTGCAAGGAAGGGGGTGTTGCTTTGTGTCTCTCCTGCAAGGGCTGCCTCGCTCTCCCCTCCTGGGATCTGGTGAGTCTCCTCTCTCTCTGGGATCTGGTGGGGGTCCCAGGGGTGCAGCAGGGGAGGGTGCCTGGGGGGCCTGATCTGCTCCTGCGGGGGGGGACCCCAAGTCAGGGAGGAGAGGGTCCTGCCAGGGAGGGGCCAGGTCTGCCACGCTCTCCTTCCTGCAGATCAGAGGATCCCAAACTCATTTGGCCTTCTGCCTCCCCGCCCTTCAGAAAAAATCTCCCTTCCTAAACAAAGGAGTCCCTGGGACTTTAACTCCGTGTGACATCGCTCAGCCTCATTGCACAACAGAGGGAACATCTGCAAATGGTTTTACAAAACCAGAGGAGGAGGTGGACTAGCCCCCCCCCCCAAAAAAAGGTGGGAGAGAAAGGCCAGGAATAAAGAGAGGGATCCCAGCCCAGAGTCCGGCTGCTGCATTGGGGACCAGTTTCCCAGTGTCTCCCAGGGCAGCTCCCCACGGAGGCCACTGCAGCAATCCCCTCGCACCCAGAGCAGGGCATCCCAGGACCACATCCTCTCTCTCCCAAAGGGATTGTTGCTGGAACCGGAAATGGGCGCTGCTACTCACTGAGCCTCCAGGGACCTGGGCATCAGTGGCTGTGTGTTAAGCTATTTAACAGAATAATAATACTAAATTACCCTCCTACTTTTCAAAGCAGATTTCTTTGGCCCTGCCCATACCTGGCCCTCAGAGCAAAGAAAAAGGGAGCCCACCCCAGGAGTCTGTCTTGAGAGTGGCAGAGAGTCCAAGTGCAAGAAAAGGAGACAGAAGCAAGGGAGTGGGGTGGGGGTGGGGGGAGCAACTCCTGAGGACCCCCGGATGAGGACCCCCACTAGAGCCAAACTTCCATTATTCAAAAGATACAAATGACTTCCTTGTCAGTCAGTTCTGACTTCATGCATTGACTGGAAGGCAGCAGAAACCAGCCTGATTCTTCTCCCAGAAATCCCTTCCGTTGCCTCCACATTTTCCATTGCAATCTTTCTTCTAGGAGAGCTAGAGGCTGCTTCCTCTTCCTCCTCCTCCTCCTCCTCCTCCTCCGCTTTCTTCTCCCTTTTAAAAAGGCCCTTTCCACCTGGCCTAGGGATGAGGCCCAGACTCACCCAGCCCTGCTGTGTTAAATATCTATTCTGTAGTTGACCTCCTTTGCTCCTTTGCTGCTGCTGCACCCTGAGTGTTGGGGAAGGCCGCTCCCTCCTCAGGCTAATTCCACCTGGCCTAGGGGGCGGGGCCCGCACTCACCTCCGCCACACCTTTAAGGACACTGGTGCTGCAGCAGCAAATGTTAAAAATGTTTTTATATATTTTAAAGTGTTTTAAAGGTGTTTTTACTTTTTCCTTCGTTGTACCACCGTGAACAGTGGTTTCTATTTATGTATTTTTATTTTGTTCCGTTTTATTTTGGTTTGGGGTTGGATATTGAGTAGGGTGGGGATTGGTTTTGTTTTGGTATAATTGTTTTTGTTTTGTTTTGTTTTTCTATTTTGTAAATGGAGGCGAGTATGAGGCTTGGGATTGCTACTGTGGAGGGGCGAGGGAGGTATGGCGGTGGGGGCAGATGTCATAGGCGAAGGGGATCGAGATACAGATATGCTCGTACCCCTTCCAATCTGTGCCCCATCCTGTGGGACGAGGGTAGGGTGAGCAAGGATTACTCACCTCCGTCACTGGTGTTGTGCAATGCCAGGTCTATAGGCAACAAAACCGCCACCCTGCGAGATTTCTTTACCTCTGAAATGCCCCCCCCCCGTACTGTATTTATTGACAAAGGGATTTTGCAGGATTCTTAGGTGATAAGGGGGGAAAGAGAGAGAGGAGGGTGTATAAACTTTATAGCAGAACAATGTATTTGCTTTGTAGGATTTCCTAAAGCTTTTCACTACGACAGACAGAACTTGGCAGAAGACCAAAGGGTTCCTTCCGATCTCTCAGAAGCTTCCTGAGAGCACAGATGGATGAGCAAGACTCAGCTGGCCCTGGAGCAGGAAGAGGCCATGCCATCCAAACAGGGAGCAGTGGGGGGTTCTGGGAAAACTCTGTGCAGAAGATCCTGGGTGAGGAGGACACCCTCCGCTCAGAGGTGCAGAGCCAGCAGTTGAGGCAGTTCTGCTGCCAGGAGGCCAAAGGACCCCGAGAGGTTTGCAGCCGACTCTACCACCTTGACAATCAGTGGCTGAAGCCAGAAAGGCACACGAAAGCTGAGATGCTGGACCTGGTGATCTTGGAGCAGTTCCTGGCTGTCCTTCCTCCGGAGATGGAGAGCTGGGTGAGAGACTGTGGAGCGGAGACCAGTTCCCAGGCGGTGGCCCTGGCCGAAGGTTTCCTCCTGAGTCAGGCAGAGGAGAGGAAGCAGGCAGAGCAGCAGGTGAGAGAGACTTTCCTCTGGATACTTCCAAGGGGCTCCAGACAGGACAGAGAACATCCCATAATGCTCTACTGATGGCTCATAATTTTTTCCTGGGAAGGCATCCATGGAATGAGATCTGTCACCCTTGAAGCTGTTGGCCCTGACATTCATTTTTTAATCCTTCTCCCCATTCTCTCATTTAAATCCTTGGTTCTTTTTTAGGGAAATGATCTCTTTGCGGAAATGGGCCAGATTTCTTCTGAGGCAGAGAGGCCTCCGTTGGACACCAGAGAGAGGCAGCTGGGTAAGGAGGGAGGAGGTTTTTCTCCGTTTAGTCTCATTCTGTTCGTTTTCCAACTCATCTGTGGGTTCTTTACATATTTTGTTGGGGGAGTTAGTGGGACCAAGAGCCCAGAGGAGGGGAGATATATTTCTGTAAAACTAACTAACATCTGAAATGCACCCAAATATGCAAATGCACTGAGCAGGTGAGACTTTCTCAAAGGCCCCTCTGTACTTTAGATTCACTGATTTACCTGTGAGGCAAGAAGGCACTCTGGGCCTCCCCCTTACCTTTTTTCTCTTGCAGGTGACACAGTGATACTGGCTAGACCTCTTCATCCATCTCTGAATGGGGACAGAATGGAAGCAGCGGCTGTGGAACCAGATCAGGTCAGGGGAAGCTGCCTTGTGGGGACAGAGGCCAAGGGGTGGAACAATGTCCTAGCTCAAGGAGTGGTGGTGAACAACAGTGTTGTCTCAGAGGAGGACATTTCCCTTTTTCTTTTAGGGTCCAGTGTGCTTTGAAGATGTTGCTGTTTGTTTCACGGATGAGGAGTGGGATTTGCTGGATCCTGACCAGAGAGCTCTGCATAAGGACGTCATGGAGGAGAATTGGGGGATCGTGGCCTCTCTCGGTAAGGCTCCCAGTGGGATCATAATATCTGTTTTTAAATTCAAAACTCCATATGTGACGAACCTCATATATTTTCACAGAACTCAACAGTGCCCCCCTACAACACCGGATATCGCAATACCCCCCCAAAAAACCTTGAACAGTAAATTACTGGCTTTTTCTGTGAATGTTATTCCTCAAGTTGCAGCTTATTAAACAAGTATCAGTCTGGTCTGAACTTCCCAGACCCTTTTGACTGTAAACTTCAGAGTTGTTAGGGAAGTTTAAGTAGCTTTTGTCAGGTTTTCAGTTTTTGTTTTTCCTCCCGTCAGTCTTTGGTTGTCCAAAGAGAAAACTGACATTGGAAACGGAGGGATGCCATGATGGAGCCAAAGAAAATCCATTCGAGAGAAGAGCCAGGCTTATCGAATCACAGGTTCCCCTAAGGACGTCGGTTGATCCCCGTTAATTAATGCACCCAACCCTTCAGAAAACCATCCATCTAACCCACTTGTGTTATTCCTCTATTACCAGAGTTAACAAGTATTCTTCCTTAATTTCTCCCTGAGGCGCTAATCCATTACTCTTCATTGCAGATAGTGATGGACTGGAAATCAAGGACAAGGGTAACAATGACAAAATCCCCACAATGGAGAAGCTGTATAAATATCTTGAAAGTGGAAAAAGTTCCAATTCCACTTCCCATCAAGGAAATCTCATTAGGAAGAAACCCTATCAGTGTGTGGAATGTGGAAAGAGCTTCAGTCAGAGCTCCCATCTCACTTCCCATCGGAGAATTCATACAGGGGAGAAACCATATCAGTGTGTGGAATGTGGAAAGAGCTTCACTCACAGCCACCATCTCACTTCCCATCAGAGAATTCATACAGGGGAGAAACCGTATCAGTGTGTGGAATGTGGAAAGAGCTTCAGTACGAGCTCCTCTCACACTTCCCATCAAAGAATTCATACAGGGGAGAAACCCTATCAGTGCATGGAATGTGGAAAGAGCTTCAATCACACCCACAGTCTCACTAAGCATCAGAGAATTCATACAAGGGAGAAACCCTATCAGTGTGTGAAATGTGGAAAGAGCTTCAGTCAGAGCTCCTCTCTCACTGCCCATCAAAGAATTCATACAGGGGAGAAACCCTATCAGTGCATGGAATGTGGAAAGAGCTTCACTCACAGCCACAGTCTCACTTCCCATCAAATAATTCATACAGGGGAGAAACCTTACCAGTGCTTAGAATGTGGAAAGAATTTTAGTCAGAGCGCCGGTCTCACTTCCCATCAAAGAATTCATACAGGGGAGAAACCTTACCAGTGCTTAGAATGTGGAAAGAACTTCAGTCAGAGCACCGGGCTCACTTTCCATCAGAGAATTCATACAGGGGAGAAACCATATAATTGCTTGGAATGTGGAAAGAGCTTCATTCACAGGGCTCATCTCACTTCCCATCAGAGAATTCATACAGGGGAGAAACCCTATCAGTGCTTTGAATGTGGAAAGAGCTTCACTCACAGCCACCATCTCACTTCACATCAGAGAATTCATACAGGGGAGAAACCCTATCAGTGTGTGGAATGTGGAAAGAGCTTCAGGAAGAGGTCCGATCTCACTAGGCATCAGAGAATTCATACAGGGGAGAAGCCCTATCAGTGTGTGGAATGTGGAAAAAGCTTCAGTCAGAGCGCCAGTCTCACTTCCCATCAAAGAATTCATACAGGGCAGAAACCCTATCATTGTGTGGAATGTGGAAAAAACTTCAGTCAGAGCTCCATTCTCACTTCCCATCAAAGAATTCATACAGGGGAGAAACCCTATCAGTGTGTGGAATGTGGAAAGAGCTTCAGTACGAGCTCTGATCTCACTAAGCATCAGAGAATTCATACAAGGGAGAAACCCTATCAGTGTGTGGAATGTGGAAAAAGCTTCAGGAAAAGCTCCAATCTCACTTTCCATCAAAGAATTCATACGAAAGAGTGGAAAACCCTTCATTATACAGCTTTCAGCACTAGAAAAAAACACACCACTTTAAACAAGCCTTTGGCTGATTGACATCTTATGCCCTTTTAAAATGTGGTGGGGAGGTGGGGGTTACAGGTTTTGGGGGCGGTGTTTTGTGTTTTCATTGTGTGAAATTCATTATGTTGTAACCATCCTGTGACCTGTGGGTGTAGGGAATGGGAGCCAACTCTTAGTGTCTGAGGGCTCTTTGCCCCCCAATAAGATATGTGAGGGGGCCACCCCCCAGTTCATAGGAATAGCCATTCAAATGGCATGCTTGCACCGCATCCTGTGTCTGTTTAACCGATGCGGGGCTTACTAAACCCCTCCTATATTTTATTCCAGTTGGCACCCCTGCTATAGGGCGCTATAGAAGTCAAATAAATGCATAAATAAAACAAAACCATCCTGGTCGCCTTCTTTTGCACATGTTCCAGTTTGTCAATATCCTTCTTAATATTATCATTTAAAAAATTTATGTGCCCATCATCTGAAGATTTCATGGTGATTCACAACATAAACAGACAGGTTGAAAGCATGGCTTTCTCAAAATCAAGTCAAGCCAGAGAAATCTCTCTTTTTTTGGATGGAGTTACAGATTGTTTCTCAGGGGACTGCTGTGGTAATAGTGCATCTTAATTTCAGTAAGGTTTTTGACAAAGTCCCCCGTGATATTTATGTGGGGAAGCTGGTAAAATGAGGCTGAACAAGGTAACTCTTTAAAAAAAAAATAATTATTGGTTTTACAAAGTTTTTATAAACAATACAAACAAATAAAGAAACAAACATGTATAATTTCATCTCCTTTTTTCATAAACCTCACTTCTCTGACTCCCCCAAACCTCCCCTTTCTACATCCCAATTTCCAAAATTGTTTCAGCAAATCCTAAACTTAATTTTATCAAATTTGTCCCTTATTTGTTCTTTTCTTTTACTTAATCTTTTGTCGCTGTAATCTCCTTTTCTTACTAAAAACCTCAACATTTTAGCATTCATTAATTTTGTAATATTTCTTGAGATAAGTTTTAAATTTCTTCCAATCTTCATCCGCCGTCTCTTTCCCCTGTTCACGGATTCTGTCGGTCATTTCAGCCAATGTCATATAGTCTATCACCTTCATCTGCCATTCTTCCAGAGTGGGTAGATCTTGAGTCTTCCAATGCTTTGCAATAAGTATTCTTGCTGCTGTAGTAGCGTACATAAAAAAAGTTCTATCTTTCTTCGACACCAATTGGTAATCCAGATTTCAGGAAGAAATCAGCACTCTCCGGCTATGGCGATGCGGCTTCGCTTCACGAGCTGGGTGACGACTCTCAGCACCGCGCTTCACCCCCGCTGCCGTTCCGGAGCCTTTAAAAAGGCTCCTTTGCGATTTCGGGGGGGCGCAATGGTGCCCACCGAGTCTCCTTGTTCACAGGCTTCAGTGCCTGTAATTTTTAAGGGTCCCCGCTTTGCCGTAGCGACAGGACCCGAACTCGAAAAGCAGACCCCCTCCGGAGCTCGGAGGGAGATCCGCCATTAACCGATGGCGCCGACCGGAAGTCCCGAACAAGGTAACTCTTAGGTGGATTTGACTGACCGAACCCAAAGAGGACTCCTTCATGGTTCCTCCTCATCCTGGGGAAAAGTGACAAGAGGGGTGTTGCAGGGTTCTGTCCTGGGCCCGTTGTTGTTCAAGTTCTTTATAAATGTCTTGGATGAAGGAACTGAGGGGATGCTCATCACATTTGCAGATGACACCAAATGGGGAGCGGAGGCCAATGTGGCAGAAGGCAGAATCAGATCAAGGGCAGGAATAGTACCACTTTATTCTGCCTTAGAATCATAGAATCATAGAATCATAGAGTGATTAAAAGGTGGGGGAGCACAATCCACATTCTTTTTATAACATGGGGCCAATGTTTATTGAATATATAAATTGTTAAGACTGTTGCCGGAATCCACCCAGCACTCATGGGAAAATGTGGCGTGATCTTTTAGAGTAATCAAATGAAACTTGTAACACATGGCAGGAAGAAAGTCTGCAATTCCATCAGGAGAAGTTATTTGTTGTTTACTGTTGTAACCATTGCTTTCTGAAAAGTTATCTTCTGTACCAAGAGAAATAAAAACAATGTTTTTAAAAATGGTGGGGAAATCATGTGTACTCTTCCATTAATCTGATTACATGTGTTGTGTGTTATTTGGCGTCTGTAACTCCCAGTTATTTCACATTATCTATGTGTTTCTGTGTGTTCAGCACACATGATTGCAGATGAGACTGAATAAAAGACTTCCTAGGAAATTCCCTTTGACTGCTTCTGTATTGTTTCAAATGCGGCTTCACTTACAGATAAGAACAAATCATATTTCTTACTGATGAATCATACCATTGTCAGCTCATTACGTAATCTCCACCCCAACAAACGCTGCGCTTAGCATGAGCAGCTGCTTTCTTCCCATTTTTTAGGTGGAAAAAACTGATAATGACAATGAAGAAGGGAGATAGACCCTTTCCCTCAACCTTTGGGGATCTGGGGGGCTTCATTTCAACCCTTAGTCCTGCTCCTGATAGCTTGACAGATGTAGAGTATTTGCTCACACTCTGCCATGACTTAAAAATCAATCTTTTTATTTTTTAAAGAAATTGTATTGCAGTGCTAAAAAGTCTCAAGAAAGCAATTCCTGTAGTAGCTGGCATCTTAGCGAACTGCCACTCTGCCAACTGTCTCACTCCCAGCTAACTAATCTGGAAAGCTGTCTTGTCATCTCTGTCTGTAAAGACTTCAGTGTCCTTTGAATTCACAATTAAGCATTTCTGGAAGAGGAAATTATATGCTTTTGTTTGAAAAGCACTAATACTGGGCCACTGACTGTGCAACCTGCCAGCCCTGCCCTGTAGGAACCTCCAACTTTAAAGATGGATCTTTTCGTGTGGCACGAAGTATACTTTGGAACTCCCTGCCACTTGACACCAGGCAAGAGACTTCACGGTCCACTTTGCAGCATTCAACTTTGTTACCGTTGCTGAGTTTGTGATAGCTAAATATTGAGGAGAGAGCAGCCAATCTCCTATGTATATCTGAATAAATTGAGAAAGTCTGGTTTTCAGTAACTACAATTAAGCTAAGATTTTGGGGGATGTTTTGAAAAAGTAAGTTTAGTGATCATTTATTTATTTATTTCATAAAATGTGTATACCGCTTGATGGTAAACAAAACAAAACCCTCGAGGCAGTTTACAAAAAGATACACTGAAATCATGAAAAATGTACAGCAGTACTTTAAAACATGCAAAAAGTTAAAATGCTCATATTCACCCCAACTTTCTAAGCACCTGCACAGGCATGTTTTTAGCAGGTTCCCCCAAAAGGTGGGAGGGAGGCGCCTGCTTGATCTCAAGAGGCAGGGAGTTCCAAAGGGTCTGTGCTGCCATACTAAACAACTGAGGTCTTGCGTGGCACCTGTAGTTGAAGCAGTCGAGTGTCTGTCTGTGGGGTAAGGAGGGGATCTCATGGGTAAACTGGTCGCTATGATAATGGAAAGGCCTTGAACTGGGCCTGGTAGCCAATGGGCAACCAGTGATGCCCTCCGAGCCAAAGGGTCATATGCCGAGAAGGCCTCGCTTTGCCAGCAATCGTGCTGCAGCATTCTGCACCAGCTGAAGCTTATGGACCAAGCTTCTGGACCCAGTAATCATAGCAAAGGTGAAGCTCTCCACATTTCTTCTTAACGAAGAGCACTGGCGCAGCGGTGGGCGAGGTTGAAGGCCTAATGAAACCACGCTCCAGGTTCTTGTGCAGGAAGTCCTGCAAAGCTTCGCGCTCTGGCTCTGTTAGAGAGTGTAAGCGACTCACCGGCAGGGGCGCTCCGGGCTGGAGGTCTATGCCGCAGTCAAAAGACCGATGTGGCGGCAGCTGGTCTGCCCCCCGTTCCTCGAACACGTCTTGGTAGTCCCGGTACTTGGCGGGGAGCGTGAATGCAGCCTTCTCAGTGGGTGCGGCTGCTAGCATCTCGGACTGAGCATGGGGACATGGGTCTGGGAAGTGCACAGTCCGATTGACCCAGTCAATCTGAACATTGTGAGCCTCCAGCCAGTCCATCCCGAGCACCAGGGGGAACCGGGGCATGGAGGCAATGTCCAAAGTTCGCACCTCCCGGTGCTGCTGGAGACACAGGACCAAGGGCTGGGTCTCCCGAGTGACGGCACCCGAACGCAGGAGCCGCCCGTCAATTGCCTCCACCTGTACCGGTTCTGGCTTGTTCTGAAGTGGCACCCGATGATGAGCGGCAAAGGCAGCGTCCATATAGGAGCGGGTTGCCCCTGAATTCACCAGAGCATGGGTAAGAATCCAGGGCCCACCTGGAGGGTAGAGACGCACCGGAACCATGAGATGTCGCAAATCCACTGGTGAGGGCCCCTCTTGCATGGTTTGGGACCCCAGGTTGCTAGGGCCTTCGGCTACCGATGTTGGCGGTTTCCCTGTGACTGGCATCTTCTTGGGACAGGATTGGGCGTAATGTCCACTCCCACCGCAGTAAAGACACAGGTTCCCCTCCCGACGCCGCGTCTTCGAGGGGGAGAGGCGAGGTTGCGCAGCCCCGAGCTGCATTGGCTCGTCCGGCAACTCGGCTGTGGGCGTGGGCCTGCTGGGAAGGACTGGAGCCAGGAGCTGGGGGTGCTGGCGGTACCGGGTCTGGCGACGGTCCTCCAACCGATCATCTATCTGCAGACTCCGCTGAATAAGGGCGTCGAGCATGGTGGGACGATCCATCATGGCCAACTGGTCCAGTATCTCATCCGACAGTCCCTCAAGATACTGGTCCCGAAGTGCAGAGTCATTCCAAGACAAGTCTTGCGCCAACAGCCGAAATTCCATGGTGTAGGCGGCCGCAGTGGACTTGCCCTGTTTCAAACGCCTAATTGCCCGGTTGGCTTGACTCTCCTTCTGAGGGTTGCTGAACGCGGTTTCCAGATGGTTGCAAAACGCTGTATA